ACAGCAGCAACAGCGTTCCGGTACCCCGGCGCCAGCCAGGTCGTCGCCTTACTCGCCCATTCAGGCTGTCTCCACGACCCCCATGCCCCAAGAAGCGACCTCCAGGAGCGACAGCCCGGATAAAGGTGACTTGTCCTCCGCTCAAACTAAAGAGGAGTCCGACAACTCGGTTTTCGATGGAGGAGGCGGCAGCAGCACCGGCAGCGGCGGCGGTGGACGCTCCGAGACCTCCAGTCAACCCAGCCATCGGAGTAGCCCGTCCTCTCAGTACAATTCTAACCAGAGCATGAGCCCCAGTGCGAGCACCCAGCATGGCAGCCAAAGTGCACAGCAGCAGCAGCAGCAGCAGCAGCAGCAGCAACAGCAGCAGCAACAACCGCAGACCCCGCCGACACCACCCAGACCTCGGGCGCCATCGGTGCCGCCTCATCTTCTGGCCCATCACCAATTTTGGTCGCAGAACTCCGGTGTACAGGGATTCGCCACGCAAAGGCTACTTAATGGGGTTATCAGCAGCGCCGTTAACTACGGGCAGAACGTCGCGGTCGTGTCCACCAGCAGCGGGAACACGAACTTGGCCGGCAGCGCGGGGAACGGAGGTAATGGAGCTACGTCCGGGAACACGTGCGCCACTACGACTGCGTCCGCGTGTAAGTACATGCTGTGTTCAGCGGCTTTTTTGAACGTTCACGTTATATTAGATATTATCAGTTCGCGCAGTGAAACTTTGCTACGGTACTAGCACAATTAAGAGTTAGGTTTACCAAAATTCCGCATGGATTTTACGGAGCAAAGTCAGACTGGGATTGGAAATACTTAATTACTAACTATATTTTTAACTCAGTAAAAACTATGTTAATACTACACTCTTTATTCAGTGAAAAGATAAGAGTCCATCATTTTGGGAATTTCTGGTTTAAACAGTAATTTTCTGAATGACATTTTTTCTCAGTTTATCTGTCTCTTATAGATTCCTGTAGTTTTAACACTAGAACTACCGTACCAGTCAAAATGACTGGTTTCGATCGTTTTGTTTCGCAATGATTGATATCTTAAAAGCATTGAATATTCGAAATGATCTTGAAAATAAATAGCTTCACTTGAATACTGTAACGAGTGCCTGAAGAAACCGAACATAATCTATTGTTACAATTTTTATATGGATTACATATCAATCGTATTAAATCCTCGGTAGTTCTAGTGTTAACACTGAAATTAGATAGATCTTGCGTACACAAAGAGTTAAAAGGAATTATAAATATGAGGTACAGAGGAAGATATTCTCAATTTTACTTCGATTCTAGGCGAAACGATGAAACCCCCGGCGCAAAGGCCGGCGCCGGCACCCCCGAGACCGCCGCCCACGGTGATTATGGGCGAGATCGGCGGCGTAAGGACGATGATTTGGTCCGCGCCGCCGTTGGACCCGGTACCGCCGCCAGCTGCGTCGTGGACGACCACCGCCGCGGCGGCTTCCTGTTCTTCATCGGAAGAATCGGCCGCCCAGTTACTCCTGAACCTGGGACAAGAGTCCAGGGGCAAACCACCCTCCGCCTCCTATTCGTCCGGCCCGCCGCTCAACATGGAGAGGTTATGGGCCGGCGACATGACGCAATTGCCGGCCGCCCAGCAGATGCAGGCGCTGAATCTGACGGCGTCCGGTTCCAGTCAAACGTGGGTAAGAAACGGAGGGGTCGTGAAATCGGAGTCGGCGTCGCAGTCGATGTCCGTCGCGCCTCCGGCGCCACCGATGCCGCCTCAGGAGCACGAGGAAGACGAGACGCCTATGATATGCATGATCTGCGAAGACAAGGCCACCGGTCTTCACTACGGCATCATCACGTGCGAAGGGTGAGTTACGGTCATCGGCCTCTTCATACTCTTTCTCTTTTCCTTCTTGTTTCTTCTTATGTCATGGTAACGTGTTCTTAATATGTTGATCGTTCGGCCATTTTTGTATATTTTATCCGAGGCTCTCGAGTTATGGAAAGATCAAGTTATTTAGCAATTTTAGAATCTACTTCTTAGACTTTATGAAAGTCTTTCTGTTCTATGTAATGTACTATATATGATATACTTATAAAATCGCAGTCGAATCTTCTGATTATTCTGGAAATATATTTAATAATATAGGGGAATATATTTAGCTTCGTTAATGTTATAGATTTTTCAATCGACTATCCGAATGAACTGAGTTCTAGTAAATAGTATTATGATGAATTGGTTAGTCAAGTTAGAATATACAAATTCTCTAAATCGGTATTAGATTCTCGTTCATAGAGATAGCAAGCGAATACTCTGAAAGGAGCTGTCAATACGTTAAAGTGTCTAGCAACCAAAATGTAGTAATCAGATTAGATGTTGAACAAAGAGTAGTGCACCTGCATATCTCGAAACGTTTCAGCCGGAATACCTTCCGGTGACATAGTACACACTACTAGAGGTTCGGATGATCCGCTTAATTAGAGATAATTACGGAGAACTATGCGCGGGAAGCTAGGACGGCACTAGTCACGGTTCTAAGGGTGCCTCACGGTGAACTCTGACCTTTGGCTGTTCCCAGCTGATACGCGGTTCTGGGCAACTCAGGAATACACTTGATTGCTAGCGTCTTCGACGACACTGCGTCACTACCCGACCATGAACATATGGATAACATGAATTCTATAGAGAACGTGACACTGTGCACGTCACAGCGTTCTTCGTCCTTTGCCTTTTCGTGACGCGAACCGCTGTTTTCTTATTTCGTTCCCTTTTTCATTGACCTTTCCTTACTTTATCGAATCCAATCGTGACGATCAATGTGTGTATTCCGAACGCTTCGCTCTAGAACGAAAGGTCTTCGATTTCATTGTCCAGTGACTGTTACTTGAGATTCAATAAGTTGCTCCTAAAAGAATATATATTTGCGTGTATAGATTGTAGAAATACTGAATAAAATAATTAGAAATTCTATATCGCAATTGATGTATTTACAGGAACTTATTGGAATTACATTTTCTATACCGAATGATTGAAACTAAATTGACTCTATTAAAAATTTGTTATTTCTGTACAGAATTTTTAACAGGACAAACGATGTGCCTTAAATTAGAAAAGCATAGTGAAACAGTTGTTTGATAATCGTTTGACACTATTCTTTTTGTCTTGTTTTATTAGTCACTTGACAACTATTCTTTCAAAGACAACGGAAACTTCATCCAACGTTTTCAAGGTAAAATGAAAACTGTATTTCAAGGTGGCTTCCATATTATGTCCCCTGCAACGCGGCTGATTAGTCCCCAAAGTTACCACAGGGTGTCGTTACACGCTTTCATACTTGTTTATCCTATGTCTATTGTCCTGTCGGACGAGCCCAGCAAATTACTTGGTGAAACTCCTCCACGTGTCCCTCTATGTATCCCGGCATAACCGTAATACAGAAGGCGTGAATTTTTAAACTGCCTCTAGGCTAAAGTAGCGGGACAATCTCTTTTCAGAAGTGAGAATTATTTACAGTCAGTCGCAGCACTCCGTACAGACGTATCGTGTTTCAGATAATCGAACTAAGAATATAAATATAGAAGAAAAAGTATATACTGTGTATTTACAAGATTTATTTCTTAGTTAAAAGTAGACGAATACCGAAAGAATTGCTTGGACAACGCAAAACATTTCGAAAACACAAAATCTTATATTGTACAGGTTCAAAGTGTGGTTATATTAAATTGATCGTAAATAATTATGTAAATCAATCTGTTTCAGTAAAAAGCTTTCTACTTTCCATTAATCGTACCTCACTGCATTTTTTAAACACAAGTTGCGAACATTTAAAATAATCTTTTTCTCTTTTACTTACGCGCAGGTGTAAAGGGTTCTTCAAAAGGACCGTTCAAAATAGGCGGGTGTACACGTGCGTGGCAGAAGGTGGCTGCGAAATCACAAAAGCCCAAAGAAACAGGTGTCAATACTGTCGCTTCAAAAAGTGCATTGAACAGGGTATGGTCCTCCAGGCAGTTCGAGAAGATCGGATGCCTGGTGGCAGAAATTCTGGTGCTGTGTATAACCTTTACAAGGTTTGTATAAACTTCATTCACCGTCTCTAATTGTTAATTGCATTGTTAATCTTGTAATTAATATTATATCGAATTATATTGTGTAATAGGAATAATATTAATACTAGATTTACGGACATTCATTCTATAGATTATTCTATCGTTCCTAGGAGAATATATGTTTGTTCATATAGCTCGGAAAAATTAGAGTTTCAAGAACAGAGAATTGTAATGTGTATTCGCATAATTGCATCAACCAAAGACAACGTAACTTGTTACGAAATAATGTTTGAAAAATTCAATATCCGTCAAATTGGGTTCCGTAAATTTAGCGTTAATAGTAATATTTTATTATATAAACATTATTATCTATAATATTATACTATTATTATATTAACCCTTTGTCCTATGATTTATTTCTTAACTATCATCGATAGAATTACTTTATTGTCAGTAATATATTAGGAAAAGAGAAAATTGTAATGTTTATTCCCTGCCTAAGATTTCTCTAAAGGTTCATGATGGATAATAGAAAAGTAATGTTTAATTAATATTTAAAAGAAACAACACTTAGATTTGTCAAATTCAGTTTAAAATCTTCACCACGAGCCTGACACGATATTGTAGGTCAAGGGGTTCATATTATTATATTATTATTATATTATTATTATATTAACAGTGTTATATTAGTGTTATATTAATAGTATTATGTTATTATTATATTTATATTATTATATTATTGTAATATAAAATATAATATTAATTCTAAATTAATTATCCCATAATATCGAGTCACTCAAAGCGGTCCTACGCGACTTTTCTCCACAGGTGAAATACAAAAAGCACAAGAAAAGTAATAAAACGAGCGGAGTGGGAGGTAGTATGGGTGGCATGGGTGGCGGTGGTAACGTTGGCGGTGTGAACGGGTCGGGATCCCTGGGTGGCACGAAAAGCACCATGGGCTCGACGATGCTGGACAAACACATGGCCGCGGCCGCGGCCGCTCACCATAGCCAACAGCAGCACGCTCAGCTTGCTGGTGGTTTCCTTCATCATCACAAAATTTCGTCGGGCGACCCGCTCAACTCACAACCTACCCCCAGTCATCCGAGTCACCCTGCGCATTCGGGTCATCTCGTCAACGGGACGATCTTGAAGACGGCGCTCACCAACCCCTCCGAAGTGAGTATCCGATACTTTCCATTTATATCATTTACTTATTTATGTTTCGAATTTTATTTCACCGCCGACTCAGTCATCATGTTGACCTTTCTCATTTCGAGAAATTAGACTCGGCAATGCTCAACGTAAAAGTGCTTCTCCTGAATATCTAAATTACGTGATGACCACAAAACATCTTGGCTATTCTCATTAGATTTACGATTTCCTATTCGAACATCGAATTGTACTTTTAAAACTTTCTTTGGCCACCTTAACGGATGTACTTGCATCGATTAACATTGCTTATATGTACGTATTCTGTTGGTCTTATATGGGCAATGTTTTATTTCGTAGCATTGAAAGGTAGAAAATCAGCGTAAACAATGCGAGCGAACGATAACGCAAAGGAAATAATGATGAAGAAAGACCACCCGGAAGACTTGGTCCGAGGCTTTTTTCCTTAGCACCAATTGATCCAACGTTTTCCTGCGCAAAATATGCGAACGCTTTAAGACAAGAACCTTTCTCAGAATTACATACTTTACGCAAATAATCCGTGAATCTTCTATCTCTTTCGCCTCAAACTCCAATTAAAATCAAAAGTCCGGTCCATCTTCCGATATAAATTTCAATATTCGCAGCTTACAAAAGCAATAACTTGCCCTTCAAACAGTATCCATTTACATCGAATCCCGAAACGATTGAAAACTACGCTAACGCAGTAACTGTACCCGTCAAATCGACGAGTTTCAATTCTTTTATTTCGAAACTAATAATATTCTCAGAGTAGTAATATTCTCAAATTAATAATATTCTCACTAAAGGACTTCAAAGATAAATAACCTTATATTACATCAAATATCTAGAGCAACCAAAAAAGATCCATATTTCCACAATCTCTACAAAGACTACACACGAGCCCTAATAAATATAGTCCTAGCATCGACCCCAATTGAAAAGACCTAACAAGACAAACGGCTGTACCTCGCAACTCGTCAGTTTCACGAGTCCATACGAAAAGCAGCGAATCCGACGGGAAAAAAACCGGTTCGAGTTCCGTGTAAGAATCGAAGCTAGCCGATCGGCGAGGAAACGGGATTACCGGTCGGAAAACAAAGCCAGTCAGTCCGCTCGATAGTCCGTCGGGTATGGTAATTTTCACTGATTTTTACACACGCCGGGAACATTTCTACACGAGCTCATAAACCGTGACGGCAGCGCGCGTTCGATTTCACGCGATGTATCCGCGTGATAATTCGAAATGCGCGCGCGGGCACGGCGCTGCTCGCGGGATACGGCCGCGAGCAGATTCCCCGGGATTTCTCTATCAACGGCCGTTAGAGGCCCGATTATCTAACAGGCCGATTCTAGGCGCGAAACATTAATTAGCCTTTTGTTGGGACCGTTCCCGGGCAACGCGTTGGTAGCAACCTCGTTATAGATCAACGTCCGCAACGGAGCGGACCGGGTG